TAGTCATCAGTTTGATAGGAAAGTTTTACCAAATGTCAGTTCCCAAGGTCTGCTCCATGGGTGCCCAGGGTTTCTGCATTTTTTCAAAAGGGGTCTACAAGATAAAAACGACTTGCATAATAACACTAAGATGTTATTTGTTTTTCTGACAGTGTAAATATTGGTACTGATGGTTCAAAAGCAGTGAAAGGTAAACATTCTGACATCTCCACCTGAATCAAGGCAGTGGCACTACACTTAGACGTCATTGTAATTCTTCACTGCCATGCACTTGCATGGGGGAAAAAAGCCAATGTCCTTAATGAACAGTGAAAATTTATGAAAACTCAACTCTTGAGTATCTGTGTTTTTAATACTCTGTGTGACAAAATGGAAAGTACACACAGAGTGTTTCTCCTGGGCAGCAAAGTACAACAGTTCCTGTGATAAAAGTACTTATTGTAAATTAAGGTAGTCCTTTTTCATTGGACACCATCTCTATTTGAAAATCCAACCGGCAAACTGTGATTATTAATACATTGACATTTGGTAGACATTTTCTTGAAAATGAACACAGTTAAGTGATTACTTTAAGGATACCAGCTGGTGTTTGTGGCCAACGATAAAATTCAAGCTCTGAAGTAACATTGGAATTTTGGAAATTTTATGTCTGCCTCCATAAGTTTGATAGCTTTGCTATAGTTAAGACTTTTGTGATAAGATGGGCAGTGATTTTTTAAAAAATTGATTTTATTTTTAATGCCATAGAGTAACATGTGCCTGTATTTGGAAGTTCTGTGATACTTAGCATGGGAAGAAGAAGGGAGTTTTTGGGTCATGGATATGAGACAAAACAGAGACTGTACTCAGGTGCCCTCAACCCTGACTGTGCAATCCAGTGTTCCTTGGCTGCCTCCATAAGAAAAAAAAGGCTGAGACTTTATGTCTCTTGTGTAGCAGCACGTCTTGCAGGAATGTGGAGGAAGGATACTTACCACCAGACCAAAGCAGTATATGCCAGGATAGACCCCAGCTTTGACTTTTCACCAACTTTTCCCCTCATTATAATACTAAAAAATCATGCCCAGGGGTGGAGATTTAACATGGTAATTAGATATACAATGCATGAAGAAGCATGACCTTTAAATGCACAGGTGCTAATAAATTCCCACCTCTACATGCTTAAATGTCACCCTTTTCCTGCTTAAGTTTCTTTTTTTTTTAATATGAAATTTATTGTCAAATTGGTTTC